TCCTCCCACATGCTGGGGTTACAGGCATGCACACCCAGTGACTACACAGTTTTTATAGGATGTGTTTAATGAACTCAACTTAAAAGCAAGTGTGGGATTATTGAAGTCTAAGGGTTTTGTTGAATTTTCGTTTCAGTGGTTTCTATCATTAAAGGTGTGTGTCATGTTGTGTCTGTGCTATGTTCCCTATATCCTTTCAACATCTGTAGGATACTTGATGACATCTCTACCAAACCTCATATTGATAACTTGTGCTTGTTTTTTAATTTTTTTCTTATTAACATGATCAGAAATATATTATTTTTATTTTCTCCAAGAATACTTCGGCTTCACTGATTTTGTAATGAGTTTTTTATTTCATAAACTTGCATTTGTGAAATTGTCTTCTTTCTTTGTTTTACTTTAGGCTAATTCTAGTTTCTTTAGGCAGAGATTGGTTTTGGATCTTAAACACAGGCACGTAGTGTTACACGTTTCTATACTCTGCTTTAACAGCATTTCAAATGGATGTGTCATGCTTTACTTTTTATCTTGAATACATAAAATACCTTTAGTGTTTTTGTTGTTGTCATTTTTGTTTGCTTGATTGTTATATACCAGGTTTCATTCTAAGGCCTAGGCAGACCTGTAATTCATGGAGTACCTCCTGAGTGCTGGGACTATCAGCCTGAGTCTCTATACCTGATGTTGGTTTTGGGCGTGTGCGTGTCCATGTTTGTGTTGGTTTCTTTCTTTGAGATATCTCCCTATGTAGCTCTGGCTGATCTGAATCTGGCTTTGTAGACTAGGCAGGGCTTGGCCTTGCAGTGAGTGATTCTTGTGTATCTGCCTTCCATGTACTAGCATTGTAAACGTGGACCACAATGCCTAGTTTCCTGCAAATTTCTTCTTTAAATTATATATTACTTTGGAAGTTTTTAGTCAGCTTTCAATTTTTAGTACATTTTAAACTCCTGTTGGCTCCTGATTTGATACCATGGGGTCTTAGGATGTTGTGACTTGAACCTTTTTGTTTTTATTCAAACATGTTTTCTTACTCAGTTTATTGTCTGACAAATAGTCTATATGCCCTTGAGAATATTACTGATTTTGTGACTGTCATATTTCACCAATTTGGTGTTGGGGGAAGTATTCAATCGTCACCGACACAGAGCATGTTTGTTATCTTATGCTTGTGAGTCTCTTTTTTTTTTTCTTAGTCCACTTGCCTTTTTTTTTTTCCTTTGTTTTTCTTTTAAATAAGTATTTATGGGTGGGAGAGATGGCTCAGCGGTTAAGAGCACTGTCTGCTCTTCTAGAGGCCCTGAGTTCAATTCCCAGCAACCACATCGTGTCTCACAACTATCTATAATGAGATATGGTGCCCTCTGTTGGCGTGCAGGTGTACATGCAGACAGAGACAGAACATTGTATACATAATAAATAAATCTTTTAGAAAAAGACTTATTTTTATTTTATTTGTATGGGTGTTTTGCTTGCACTTTTTTGGGGAGGGGAGTGCTCATGGATGCCACAAGAGAGCATCCCATCCTTTAGACCTAGAGTTACAGGCAGTTGTGAGGTGACAAGTGGATGCTGGGAACTGAGCCTGGGCCCTGTAGAAGAGCACCCAGAGGTCCTCACTGCTGAGCCATCTGTCGTATCAGTCCCCCAAGACCTGTGTGTTAATGACAGTGCTGTAATATCTATTTAGTCCTATGAAAGCTTTTAGCATGAAGTACCACAGAGATCAGAGAAATGTCTAAAAAGGAATAATAGCTAATATTATTTTATGTAGGAGATAAAGGGCCTTTGCTGAAAATTCCGGTTGTTTTCTATCATGGATTTCTGCACTTTTGATTGGCTTACATGAATAGAGGGTTTATTTTTATTTATTATTATTATTATTGATTGATTGATTGATTGATTATTAAGCAGGGAGAAGGAATTATCTTTGGAGTCTTGTCAGCAGCACAGGCAGAACTTTTATAGTCTCTTAGGTAACGGGAGATGAATAGGAGAAGCCACAGTAATGAAGGTAATGATGACTTAGTAGGCCATTCTTTTCTTTTCCTTTTGGTTTTGGTTTTTGAGACAGGGTTTTTCTGTGTGGACCTGTCTGTCCTAGACCTCTCTTATAGACCAGGCTGGCCTCGACCTCACTGAGATTCTCCCCTCTCTGCCTTCCAAGTACTGGGATTAAAGGCCTGTGCCACCATGCCTGGCTTTAGTAGTTTATTCTTGTTCCGTTTTTCTTTATAATCTAATCTAAATGTTTTCATTTGAGAAGAAACAAAAACTTGTATACCTGCTATTAGTCAAAGACCGAGAAGCAGTAAGACAGGAAAATCTAAATGATGTGTGATCTTTATCTTAGTTACTATGATATTGAAACAGATTGTCCAAACCCTTTCCAGAACTCTGCTTATGTCAGGAGCTGGGCTTGTGCAGCACTGTTATTTTGTACCCTCCCCCTTTAGATGAAGCAGTGAAAGTAATGGGGGGGGGGGAAGCCTGTAGTTGTTGTCAATATCCCTTTCTTGCTGACAGTGTATACCTGGCCTGGCTGGCATGCAAGAAACTGGGAAGTGTGGAGTGTAGTCACTGGAGTCAGTCTTCTCTTAATTGCCTGGTGCCAGTTCTGATGCCCTGAGAGTTAAGATTTCCTTTTCTGGGCATGAAGTGAAAAATGCTCAGCAGAAAGACCCTGGTTTCCTGAAGAAACATAGGCGTTAGAATCTGAGGATATATAGACCATAGGTCTGAACTCTGTTTACCAAAATGTTAAATGTTTATGCTTTAAGTTTTTTCTCCTTGCTTTAAAAAAATTACTTCTGTCCTGCTCTTGTGTAGTTGGTCTGTTTTTAGAGCTAATATCTGAGTCCCAGTATGCTCCTGAGATTCTGGACTTGGGGCCATAGAGAATAGGAGCTGTGGTCTAGTTTTCCTCAAAAAATACACACACTGGCTCTCTGAGAACTTGAATCTAAAACATATACTAGTGGTGGAGATTCTTTGTCATGATTATTTTTAGATCTAGATGATGTTAGTGTTAACAATGACATATACTAAGGTACAATAGAACTTTTTGTTATTATTTTTATTTTTTAATATTAGTTACAGTTTATTAACTTTGTATCCCAGCTGTATCCCGCTCCCTCATTCCCCCCAACCTCACCCTCCCTCCCTCATCTCCTCCCTGCCCCTTTCCAAGTCCACTCATAGGGGAGGTCTCCTCCCCTTCTATCTGACCCTGGTTTATCAAGTATCTTCAGGACTGGCTAAAAAAGTCCTCTTCTGTGAGCCTGCCATTGAGTTCATGTCAAAAATAGTCCCTGTTCCCTTTACTACACTACCATGTAGTACTGAGCTACCATGGGCTACATCCGAGCAGGGGTTCTAGGTTATATCCATACATAGTCCTTGGTTGGAGAAACAGTCTCATTAAAGACCCCTGTACCCAGATATATTTGGTCCTTGTGGAGCTCCTGTCCTCTCCAGGTCATACTAACTCCCCCTTCTTTCATATGATTCCCTGCACTCTGCTGAAGGTTTGTTTATGAGTCTCAGTATCTGCTTTGATACACTGCTAGGTAGAGTCTTTCAGAGGCCCTCTGTGGTAGGCTCCTGTCCTGTTACTTGTCTTCTTCCATATCCAATGTCTTCTCCTATATCCAATGTCCATCCCATTTGTCTTTCTAAGTGAGGATTGGTCATCTTACCCCGGGTCCTCTTTCTTGCTTATCTTCTTTAGGTGTATAGATTTCATTATGTTTATCCTATCTTATAGGTCTATATAAGTGAGTATATACTATGTATGTCTTTCTCCTTCTGGGATACCTCACTCAGAATGATCTTTTCTAGATCCCACCATTTGCCAGCAAATTTCATGAGTTCCTTGTTAATTGCTGAGTAGTATTCCATTGTGTAAAAGTACCACAATTCTCAGACAATTAGGAATAGTGCTTCCTCAAGATTCAGCTATACCTCTCCTAGGCATATATCCAAAAGATGCCCAGGTACACAACAAGGACATTTGCTCAGCCATGTTTGTAGCAGCTTTATTGGTAATAGCCAGAACCTGGAAACCCAGATGTCCATCAATGGAAGAAAGGATACAGAAATTGTGGTATTTTAAGCATAGAACTTGTAATTAAAACATTGAGTGTTCCTCCATACTAAGACCGAGGTCATGAGTTTACATACAGGGTTGTCCATGGCTAACCTCTTATCCTCCTAGGCCATTTTTTATAGCTCATAAAAGTAATGCCATAATACGACTCTTTACCCTAGTTTACTTAAAATGTAAGGTAAAGCTGTATGCGGTTACGGCTGCCTTTAATCCTAGCCCTTGGAAGGGAGAAGCAGGTGGGATCTCTGAGTATGAGGTCAACCTGGTCTATAGTACATTCTGGGCCATCCATGGTCACTTAGACCTTATCCAAACAAACAAACAAACAAATGAATAAATGGAATAAGAACTAGAGGGCAAAGTGTTTGTATTGTTGTTTAGGCCATACACCACTGATCCGTCCTCCCCACCCCTCCCTTGACAGTGCCTTAACACAGTGTACCTATGTCACTCTTGAGACTGACAGAGGATTGAGAGAAACAGGACTAGTTGGGGAGTAATTAAGATATACACTACGAAATTCCTTATACATAAACTGTTGGTGTATGCAAAATTATGCAGAGTTGAAATTTAATTTATTTTTCTGTATGTGCAGAAAAGTTTGAGCTCATTAAGAAAGCAATATTTCAGTGCAAGAGTTGATGGACATCTGTCTGCACACCTTGTTAAATACAGACTGTCAGTTTGTCAGAGTTGTTAAATTTTATTAAAATAAGCAAACAAAACCTAATGAGAAGTCATAGGATTTTTTTTTAACTTAAAAAAGAATAATCTTGAAATGTTGTAATTTAAGTATTTCTACTTAATTGTTTAGTGCTTTAATGACATCAGGAACTGACAAAGGAGTGATGGAGTGCTGTTTTCTTGAGATAGTCTTTCTTTTTTTCAGGTGGCTATCATCCAGTGAAAATTGGAGACCTCTTCAATGGTCGCTATCATGTCATTCGGAAGCTGGGATGGGGCCACTTCTCCACTGTCTGGCTGTGCTGGGATATGCAGTAAGTGCGCTTTGTCGTCGTGTGTGCTTGTGCTTAGCTGTGCATCACGATGATGGAGCCCAGGACTGTCCTGCCTTGTGGCACAGACACTTGCCATAGGCCCTGCAGCTTAACTAGCTCAGACCCCTTCTTCCTAGTGTTACAGTCCTTTTTAAAAAAAGCTAATTGTGGCTTTGTTTTTGAGCTTGTTTTTTTTTTTTTTTTTTTTTAATTTTATCAGAGCTGTGTTACTTTTCTAGTAGCTTAATCATATCACGAAAAAAATCAAATACAAATTGGAAATATAGACCTTTTAATTCAATATTCTGTGATATTATTTAAAAGACACATTGACCTGTAGCAGGAAACATCGTTGTTGCTCTGCACATATATTCATATATATATATATATGTTGTATTTATGTGCATGAACATACATGAATTGAAACTGTTATAAAAGAATACTTTTCTCTTAGTGTCCGTGTCGTCTGGCAGTTTTCTTGTCTATTCTATGTTAATTAGAATTGAAACAACAAGCCTGTAAGAGTTTGTTTTAAGGTATGCATCCTTTGTGTCACCCAAATGCTATTTTAATTAAAAAATTATTACTGTACATGTGTGTGCATGATGAATGTATGGGTGTGCAATGATGCGTTTGCCACAGCATGAAGACATCTTTGTGGAGTCTTACTGTCCTTCCTCCTGTGCCTTTACCTACTGATCTGTCTGGATGCCCCAAAGTCCTGTTTTAAGGGAAAGCTAATGAAAAGTTTCAAATTACTGACTACCAATTACCCATATCTTGTATAGCAATTACTAATAATTTGTTTTGTTTTCTTTTTGTTTAAAGAGGGAAAAGATTTGTTGCAATGAAAGTCGTAAAAAGTGCCCAGCATTATACAGAGACAGCCTTGGATGAAATTAAATTGCTCAAATGTGTAAGTAATCAATAAATAAGAATGATATAAAAAGAAACAAGGAAATAGTTAATTAATGCATATTCTTTACTCCGTGATCTCTGAGTTATAACACGTTTCATGCTTTCATGGTTTAAGAATAGTGTTATTTCAGGTGTCTGTAAACTTTTAATTACTGCTGTACTCCCTCTGTCTAAGGTCTCTAGGGTCATTGTAGAGTAATTATGAACCTCTCCTGGTCTGGTTGGCTGGAGATTTTTTTTTTTTTTTTTTTTGTAATACTAAATTTGAAAGTTTAAGCCTTTTTAAAAAACCTTTTATTGGTTGTGAATTTCACATCCTGCAACCCAAACCTACTCATCTCCCTGTCCCTTCATAGTCGCCCTTTGCCCTTGTAATCCCCCCGAAATTAAACAAATTTTCAACAAACAAACAATCAAAAGCTATAGTGGGTCACAGTATACCCTTTTTTCCTCACATCTTTACTTGCAAGTGTTCATTGCAATAACTTGGTGGTCTGGTTTGAAGCCTTTGGCTTCTGCTACACCATCAATACTGGATCCTCATTTGGACCCCTCTAGGATATCCTGTTGTTGCCTGGTGTCATGGAGATCCTGCAGCTTTAGGTCTGTAGGGCCAGCCCCTTCACATGTTCCATCAGTTCATAGATGGGTAGATGTTGGGGTGGGCCAACTCAGAGCCCTGGATCTGGGCCTGGGTGGTAGCTGAGTTGGTCAGCCCACCAGCTCACCCACTCAGCAGGACGAGTTCTCCAGCTAGTCTACTGACCAGCGGCTTCTGTCCCAGTTAGCTCACTCCGTGCCTAGCCAGCAAGGGTGCAGCTCTCCTCCAGCTCTACTATGCTGCCCATAGTGAGCCACAGGACCCACTCTCCCAAGTGCTATGGCCAGGGAGGGTCAGGGCCAGCTCTACTGCCAAATTTAAGTTTTTTTTATCTGAAAAAAGTCACCTTGATGATTGGTATAATGAGAAACAAAGTTCTATTTTCTTTATTATCTAAAAATATATTTACTTTTAATTGTGTGAGTATGTGCGAATGCATACAGGTACATGCCTATAGAGTTAAGAGACGTTTTCTCCCCTGGAGCTGTAGTTATGCCAGACATGGGTGCTGGGAATTGAACCTCAGGTACTCTGGAAAAGCAGTGCTTGTGCTTAACCTGAGCCATTTCACCTCTTCAGGGCCAAGCTCCATCTCACAGCTTTGTGGTGTTTGAACATGGTGGTATATGCTTGTAATCACAGCACTCAGGAAGCTGAAACAGAAGGATTGCTGAGTTTTAGGCCAACTTGGGCTGATACCTACATTTCTTTTGGGAAAAACAAAAATGAAAATCAATATGCAAACCATATTGTTCATTTATTTGTTTTTCTTTCATAGGTTCGAGAAAGTGACCCCAGTGACCCAAACAAAGACATGGTAGTCCAGCTAGTCGATGACTTCAAGATTTCAGGCATGAATGGGATACGTATCCTTTATTTTGTGATCTCTGAAGTCTAACACTTTTTTTTTTCTTTTGGCTCACTTTTTCAAAATAGTGTTACGTCAGGTGCCTAGAATTTTTTTTTTTTTTTTTTCTCTTTTGAGACAGGGCTTTGCTATGTAGTCTTGGCTGTCCTGGACTTGCTTTGCTGGCTTAGAACTCAGAGATATGCCTACCTTTGCCTCCCAGAGTGCTGGGATCATAGGTGTGCGACACGGCACCCACCTGCCTAGAAACTTTAATTGCTCTGTGCTCGCTCTGTGAGGTCTCTAGGGTGGTTGTAAAGTATTGGGTCCGTGCCTCTCCTGGTCTCCTTGGCTGGGCCTTTGGTTTGTTGTTCTTATGTTTTCTTTTTTTCTTTTTTTTTTTTCTTTTTTTTGGGGGGGGCTCTATTAGCATCTTAGAAACTTGAAAAAAAAACACTGGCTTGATTTGGAATAGAGTTTAGGTTAGTGTTAATTATACAGCATGAGACTTCATATTTTCATGCATGTATGTAATGCATTTGGGCTGTCTTAACTCTCAGCTTAAGTCTGAGAATGACCTCATATGCCTGCATCTTCTTCGTCATGGTCTTTTAGAAGACTTTCTATCTGAAAGACTCTACCTAGCAGTGTTTCAAAGCAGACACTAAGACTCATAACCAAATCCTCAGCAGAGTGCAGGGAATCATATGAAAGAAGGGAAGTTAGTATGATATGGAAAGGATAGGAGCTCTACAAGGACCAAATATATCTGGGCACAGGGTCTTTTCTGAGACTGACACTCAACCAAGGACCATCTATGGATATAACCTAGAACTTCGGCTCGGATGTGGCCCGTGGTAGCTCAGTAACCAAGTAGTTTTCCAAAGTAAGGGGAACACAGACTATTTCTAACAGGATCTCAAGGGCAGGCTGTTTGACACCCCCCCAGGGGAGGAGCAGTCTGTTAGGCTACAGAGGAGGACTTTGCAGCCAGCCCTGAAGATACCTGATAAAACAGGGTCAAATGAAAGGGGAGGAGGTCCTCCCCTATCAGTAGACTTGGAAAGGGGCAGGGAGGAGACCAGGGAGGGAGTAACGGGGTTGGGGAGGGAATGAGGGAGCGGGATACAGCTGGGACACAGAGTTAACAAAATGTAACTAAAAAGAAAAATAAAATTTAATAAATAGATAGATAGATAGATAGATAGATAGATAGATAGATAGATAGATA